AGAGTAAAATCAGTGCCAGTTTTCGGCCAAGGCAGAAGCCATAAGAGATGCAATCCAAACAGGGAACGAAAGAAAAAGCGCATGGCTAAATATACTCGGCCACCTCACACTGTTTGCAAGCACAGCCTGAAAAGGAGCAAAAGAAAATGCTTGTCGTGTGTGTGCTTTTCATCTGACCTTCACTGTTGAAACACACCAGCCTTTCACCTTCAGTCATATCCTTAGTGAACTTCAATGTCTTGGTGGCTCTGCGTTCACAGACCTGTGTGCTGCAGACATGTTCTGTTGGCTGCCACCCCGTTGACTTGCACGGTGCTTTCAAAAGATGTGAATTACTAGCTGACATTTAAGAATCAAGAAATTCCATGTCAAAGTCTGAAGTTGGGGCTTCTCTTGAAAAATTGGAAGACTTAGGAACCACATTCTTACACGACAGCAATGACTTGGCTGATAGCCGCTTTAGACAGGTGTGCGCTCCAGTGTGTCACAGTCCCCACCACAGGTCCCAGACACTTCTTCACACTGAAGATAAAACAGACAGTGAACAAGTATGTAATATGCCAGGAGGTGATAGGGCTTATCAGAGAAACAAAGCATAGAAAGGGGCTTGAGAAAGCTGGACAGAGGCTGCCGGTTTATGTGGGCGGGCAGGGGCTTCGCCTCGAGGAAGCCACATGTGAGCAGAGGCCGCAGGGAAGCCAGGCAGTGAGCCAATTGGAACAGAGCGTCCCAGGCGCAGGAGCAGCAGGTGGAGGCCCTGAGGCAGGAGGCCAGTGTGGCGGGAGCTGAGTGAGCGAGGGCGGAAGGAAGAGGCGGTGAGACCAGAGAAGCAGCCGAGGCTCAGACCCCATGGGTCTGTGACGTCTATGGGATTCTACTTTGGGGCGAATTGGATATTTGTTCACAATTATAATTTAGTGTTTGAAAGTCGCCGTTACTTGCTGATACATATAAACAACTTGAAGACCTGTCACAGTCCGTGTGTCACCAGCAGGTCTGCCACATGTGGACTGTGCTGTGGCCTGTGATGGCTCACCCACCGGTTGGTACTGTGTGGATCAGGCAGTTGTGCTATCATTGGCCAAGTATTCATTAATTTCAATGGTGAGACTTAAAAAATGAGGGATCATTTGTAGGGCAGTTCCGTTGCTTGGGTACTCCTGTTTCAGATTACCATATTAATAACCTTTAGCGAATGCTTTTTCCCCCGCTCTTTACTTTTTATTGTTATTTTCACATAAATGGGATTAAAACACCCATACTGTTTGATAATCCCACTTTTTTCACTCAACGACATATATGGCTGGCCATGATTCTGCACCAGTCCTCATTCGGCCATTGGAAACAGTGCTCAGGGCACTGTTTTGGGAGATGGTGGCCTGAGTTTGAATCCTGATCCACTTACTAGCTGTGTTCCTGCAATTTGCTGGTAAAGCAGGGATGAGTTTGATTAAATCAGCCGTGGGTATGAGAGTAGAGAATGACTTAGTGAGGAGACGGGAGGCATGGAGGCCAATAGACAGAAGGAGGGTCAGTGAGTCTTCAGGGACCTAAGTTGCTTTTACCACGCCCAGTTCTCTCTGCTTGTCCCTAGGATTCCAAATCCTTCACCAAGCCCTGCGATTTTAACTTCTCAGTTCAAAACACACATGGATGTCTGGACCCTCCCGGCAATATGGACAAAGAAAGGATCCTCTTAACTATTCAGGATGTAATGGTAAGACCGATTTTTCACATTCTAACCATGAAGGGCCAGGGTCTTTTCCGTAGCCCAGCAGCTGGGCCGTGGGATGCCAAACCCCGCCCCCCGGGAGAGTCTTCATTTACACCTGGGAAAACGACAGATAACAACAGGATTTGGCTTTAACAAAACCCTTTGGCCCACCCACCAGAAGATTTAAAACAACACGTGAGAGATTTGGCTTAATGACATTTCAAAAATGATAGTAAAGGCCCACGTTAAATGAGCACTTGCTAGGTGCCGAGCACTGTGTTTCGTGCGTAACGTCCATTACTGTGTTAACCTTGCGAGTTAAGTGCTAGGTATCTTCATTCCCATTTTTTAGTTGGAGGAAACTGAGGAGCAGAGAAATGATGTTGCTCACCTGGGGTCTCAAGAAGCCCAGACCCTGTGGCTCCTTCTTCCTTGGGATTAACAATCATAGGCTGGGAACTGCACTTACCTGATTTTGCTTCTGAAATGCCCAGCTCTCCTCAGGGGCACAGTCTGTGGTGAATACTATTGACGTTCTGCCTGGGAGCAAGGTGCTCAGAGGCAGCCAGCTATCAGTTACTTTAACCGTTTTAAACAATGATGGAGAGGACCTCTCCTCTGCCGGTTCTCTCTCCCCCACGACCCCTGGGAATGTTGACGAAACAGGTTTTTCAAAATGAAATCCGATGAAGAAACAACCAGGCAAATCCAAATTGAGGGACAGTCTACAAAACAACTGGCCTGGAGTCTTCAAAAGTGTCAGTGGCATAAGAGACACAGGAAGGCTGTTCCAGACTAAAGGAAGGTAAAGAAATATCTTGATTATGCGATGTGAGATCCAGGGAGGAGAACTGCTATAAATTTAAGGATTGTTTTGGGGGAATTCACAAAAATAGTGAATTATATTATATTAGATCACAATATTAGATGTTATTATATTAGATCATAATATTAGATAATAATACTTTTTGATGTTAAATTCTCCAAATTCAATAATTATATTGTGGCTATGGAAGAGGGGGTCCTTGTTCTCGGGAGACACGTGCTGAAGTGTGCAGGCGTGAGGGGTCACAGTGTCTACCACCAAGACGTAAATGGGCCAGAATAAAGAATATGTGGGTATAGACTGAAGAGGGGAACAGGAAGAAGAGAGAGGGAGAGAAAAGTGGCAAAATGTTAACAATTGGGGAATGTCAGTGAAAGGTTTTTTGGGCATTCATTTTATTATTCTGATAAATTTTCTGTGGCTTTTACATTTTTTCAAAATAAAAAGCTTTTTAAAAGCTAGCACATTAAGGAGGAGATAAACGGCCTCATTAGAGCCAAGCATCAGCAAAGGAAAAAATAGAGAAAATTGAAAAAGGAGACCTAGCTGAAAAAGCTGAGTAGGATTGTATCATTGTCAGTTTCTTGATTGTGCTATTGTGCTCTAGTTATGCAAGATGCTACCATGGGAGAAACTGGATGCAGGGTATGTGGGATCTCTCTGTATTGTTTCTTACAAATGGCATGTGAAATCTACAGTTAGCTCAAAATGAAAAGTAAAAAATAAATAAATAAAATAAACACAAATGCCCAGGTCCTACTACCCAGAGATGCTGATTTTCATCCTGGGTTTGGCCCCAGGCTTTGTATCTTGTTTTAAGTGCCCCACGTGATGATAATTTGCAGCAATATTTGAGAACCACAGTTATAAAGAAAAGATGAGCACTGTGGATCTCAAAATTTGATATGCACAAGAACCACTAAGGACATTAGTTTAAAATGCATCTATTTTAAGTCTAATTTTTAAGCTACTAGAATTTTTACATACGAGGTAGCACAGTTATTTAACAAAAGAACTCCTAGTGATCCTTACCCAGAGAGGCTTGTACAGTAGAGTCCACCTCAAATGGAAGGAAAGTTTTGGAGGTAATTTGGACTTTGTGGCTTGTATTTGGAGACTATAAAAGAAAGAAATTTAAAAATTCAAAGTTAAAATCTCATCTACACCGTACAAAATGAAGATAACTGTAAAGCAAAACAAAACGACAATAATAACAAAAATCCACAGAGGTTCAGGAAAGGCAGCAAGGGCTGGGAGGAGGTTCTGCGTTTTCCCTCAAAACCATATCCTGTACTTCTGGAAACTTGAGTGGAAGAGGCTGTCACTTAAAAGAATAATAAATGAAAGATACAAAAGCAGAATAGCTCTAGACATTTCCTATATTATACAGATCAGTTTAGATATTGACTATTAGTATGAAGAAAAGACTAAATTATATTCAACATACATTTTTTTTCTTTTTATAAAATTTATTGGGGTGATATTGGTTGATAAAATTATATAGGTTTCAAGCGTACAGTTCTATAATACATCATCTATATATTGCATTGTGTGTTCACAACCCAAAGTCAGATCTCCTTCTGTCACCGTATATTTGACTTCCTTTACTTTTTCTACCTCTCCTCCTCCCCCCTTTCCCTCTGGTAACCACTAAACTGTTGTCTGTATCTATGAGTTTTTCTTCATTTGTCTTGTTCGTTTACTGCTTTCAGTTTTGTATCCCAAATATGAGTGAAATCATATGGTTGCCATACTGGCCTGAATGCACCTGATCTCGTCAACGTATTCTTTTAAGAAGACAAGGAAGTCTTAATATATTTTAGAAATATTTTCATAGAAAATTATTTTAAGTTTTTGACTATTTAAAGAGGTGTATTTTAGAGAAATAGAAAATTAATTTTATGTTATATCAAGACATTATTAAATTAAGAAAATGAATATGAACCCTTTATATTTGGTTTTTCTCACTTTGGTCACATTCAAAATACGTTTCAAACTTGAGAAAAAAACAACCAGAGAAAATAGGGGCATATAAAAGAGGATTCTTATTAGTTATGACTGGAAAAAAAATATGCTCGACTGAAGA